TCTCTAAGTGTAAAGCCACTCATCCACCTAATCATTCTCATCTCAGCAACACTTGACTTGTTATTATGCTAAAGGCCAACATTTAGACATTTAGTGTCATAGAGCGTTGCAGTTCTCACCACCATCTTATAAAATTTTCCTTTCATTCTAAGCGGTACTTTTCTAACACGCAAAAGGCCCGAAACATTCCTCCACTTCAACCAACCAACTTGAATCCTACTATTAACATCCTATCTATATCACCATCGCTTTGAACAACAGACCCAAGATATCTAAATCGTTCACACCTTTTAATAATTTGATCACCCAAAGTCATACTTCTCTCACTAAAGCTACCACTACTAAAATTACATTCCATGTACTCAGTTTTAGTTCTACTTAAATGAAGGCCTTTAGACTCCAATGTTTACCTCCATAATTCAAGTTTTCTTGGGCTTTTTCTCTCGTTTTATCCACGAGAAAGATATCATCAGCAAAAAGCATACACCAAGGTACATCCTCCTGTAGATGTCCAATAAGACCATCCATAACTAAAGCAAAAAGATATGGGCTTAAAGCCGATCCCTGAAAATTATTGAAGACACTTTGAGCAAAAAATTATTCATTTTTTAACTGATCTTTAGAACCAAAGTGAATAATGAACTAAAAATGCATTCAAAGACCTTAATAAAAACAAAACAACTTGAAATTTTAAAACGTCAGGCTTCTAAAAAAAATTATAGAAGGATGATTTGGCCTTGGAAAAAGATAAATATTGTTATATCCTTCCAAGTTAATCAATAAGCCATCTTAAATAAGTCCAAATTTTCTTCTTAATTAATAATTTCATTTTGACTAAAGCCAATTTAGGCCGATGTCTTTGTCAACCATGTTATCCACTAAATTAGCTTACATTGAGTATTTGTCATCCCATCAACATCTAAAAATCAAACCACATTGTGTAATTAAGACCACATCATACATTATTTTGTTAAGTTCATAATACTTTCACACATAGCAACTACAAAAGCATAACATCAAAGAACAAATGATTTTTATCTAGCATTCACTCTTCGTGCAATGAAAGCATGAAGATAATAATAGAGAATTTGCATACATACCACACAAGTCTTATAGATTTACATATCTAACACCATAACTTTCATATTTGCATTTATAACACTTTGGTGTTAAAAACCTATACATGAAAAGATGCATTTTATCTTTTAGAAAATATATAATGATGATATTTTTTATGCAATGTTAATATGAAAGTTTTAGTGTTAGATATATAAATAGATAAGAATTGTGTGGCATGCATGTAAATGCTCGAACGAATAAACATATATTTTCCCTCATTAGACAGTTTTTTTTTTTATTTACAGGACAAAGAAATTTATATATTCATTAAGAATCTTCAACAATAACAAATTCAAGTTTTTCAAAAAAGCAGAATTAAATAGAAAATGCAAATAATAAATCTCTTAGAAAATAGTAGAAGTTTCAGAAACGGATTCAGAAGAAGCCAGTACCAGTTGTGGAGGAAGAACACCTTCCTTCCAAGCCTTCTTGCGCTCACGCTGCAGCCGAAAGTAGTCTCTTCTTCTAGCTCTGAAGCTGTTCGGGTTCTCAGGCTGTTCCACTCTTGGGTAAACACTGATCTGTAAATTAAAAAAAAATAATAATGTAAAATGTAATATTGATGCCATATTTCTGTGTAAAAACAGATGGTAATATTTTATGAAGATGAGACTGAGTTTACCTTTTTTCTATCAGGTCCAAACTTTTCAAATTTTACTACTCCATCGATTAGTGAGAAGATGGTGAAGTCCTTCCCCAAGCCAACATTCTTTCCAGGGTGGAACTGTAAATTTGTTCAAGTTGAATATTGAGTTATGGATGAGCAATTTTATGAGTATTGCTGCGCTTACAAGAATTAAAAGGAGATTAGCATACATACCATGAAATTCTCATGTATTTTTACGTATCTAACAATCAAACTTTCATATTAACTTTTATAACACTTTGGCGTCACCAACCTATTCATGTAAAGGTGTATTTCACTTCTAAAAAGTTAAAAATAATGATATTTTTATGTACGATTTGAGCCTTGTAAATGTAAATATAAAACTTTAGATGTTAGATATGTAAATGCATAAAAATTTTGTGGTATGTATGTAAATGCCCCAAGAGTAAAATGCTATACAATCAGCATATATAGTCTTATCCCGACCTGTTGGGAGAAAACAGAACTCTCCAAATAATGTCCTTCCCAAAAATTCTTAGGGGCTTAAGACTCCATTAGAAATCTAAACCACACCACGGAATAAAATTGCATAGATTCAAGGAAAATTGGAACAAATTTAGGAATAGAAGCACAACAAAACAAAACGGAAAAGAACACCAGAATTTACTGTGGAAAAAACCTGAGAACGGGAAAAAAACACGAAGTCACGCCACCAGAAAAATTTCACTATGAATCAGAAAGTTGTACAGAGAGCACACTCAATTTATTCTCTTCTTTCAAGGAAACTTACAAGCCCTCGCTCTAAACTCTTCCTGCTCTGATCCAACATGAGAAATGCATGTTGAGATCACAAAAATCCTCCACTCTGACACTTATCTCCTTCACAAGAAACTTGTCGAAGAAACCTCGTGCAGGAACTACTAGTTACGGCGCTGAAATTCAGCCTTCAACCAAAAGATCCCGTGCAAACTGCTTCGGCCGCATACGAGCCCGGACTTGGCGCCTAAGCGCCACTCTTATGAGAGGCGCCCTTTCTACTGTCCATGCCCACATATGTGAGCGCATATGCGCCATAGGCTGGCGCCTTCTCGTGAGCAACGTCCAAGTGGGCTTTTGAGCACTCACATCCCGGTGCATATGCGCCGATCGTGTCTCCAACACGACCCAGACACACACACACATATATCATAAACAAGCTTCACAATTAGTGTAGTAGTGATTTAATCAACAATCAGAAATGAAATCCATTCTCTGCTAAAATATTGGACTAATACATAAGCAATATACAATAAAAAATCTTGGTGAAATGATTAAGGCCATCTATTCGTCATTTCAAATAGCACCCCGAAAGAGTGAAAAATATAAAAGGAAGATTTATACATACCACTCAATTCTTATGTATTTACAAATCTAGCACCTATACTTCAAATTTTACCCATGCATAAGAATGTGTATTTCACTTTTTTTTAAAAGTTGAAATGGTGGTATTTTCTATGTGATATGAAAATTTAGGTGGAATGAACGTAAAAATTAATATTTAAGTGTGTGTTATGTAAATTCATAAGAATGGAGTAGTAGGTAAGTAAGTGTCCCAATATAAAATCAACTGAGAGTCTCTCCCATAAAACTAGGCAGTATATAGCACCAAACTTCAAGCATTTACTTTCCTCTGAAGATCTTTTAATATTTTCGTTTTTTCCTAGAAAGCACATTCCTATTACATCCTAGCAAAAGCACATAATTGCAGAATTCCAATTTTTTCTGGTGTCTGCATGTACCAAACTTCTAATTATTGAGGAACTTTATCTAAAATGGCAATACTTAATGCTTGTAGTGTTGTCAAAAGCATACTTCGAAGCATGCATTTGAAGCGAAGAATGGCAATGTGAGCAGATCATAATGCTTCATGCTTCATTGTGTGTAGCGTTAAGCAATTGCAAGATTGTTCCTATTTTAATTTATTTAGGGTTTATTTGGGGCGATTGTATCTTTCTTGTAAAGGTGGTTATAAAACTGTGACGGTGAAATGAACTTTTTAAAAAGTTACAGTGGTAATTATAAATATATATTTTTTTAAAAAGTTTGACAATAGCATACTTACAACTGCCACACTTTAATAGATTTAGTTATAAAAAACATTTTCCCACCATAGCAATTTCTAGAAAAAATAAGAAACTAGTTCTCCAAACCAAACTGAGGTGACGATTTGAAACGCAACACAAATAGAAAGTTGTCTGAAACAGACCATTAATTATTTTTATCTTACTAAGCTCAATCATAAATAGTAGATTTATCTTCTAATAAAAATATTCAAGGGTACAAAAAGCAAAGATATTCATAAAAAACATGCTAATAAAACATCTCTTGATCTTAGTTTCTAAAATTGAGTAGAAGTTCATCATACTTTACCTTTTGATATTTGATATAAAATACAACAAATCAATTTGTGATTATTATTCATATGAAGATTACTGAAAAACATAATACTAAGTAATATCCATGTGACATGAGCCATTCAATTACCTGAAGTACACTAATTGTTTCACATTACATTACAATCAACCTTACTCTGAAGTAATCTTCCACAATTATTCAGTAGGGCTAGCAAAATCATGCCCACAATATATAAATGGATTATGAAGGCATGCAGGGTATCTCTCTCCTATCTGCCTCCCTCAAGTAAAAAGTGTCATGTATCTCTCTCCTATCTTAGTCTTAAAATGATTTATTCTTAAGCTTTTCATTATTTTTCTTTATATTCACAACTCACACATTTTATCCGTTCCTCTACACCACATTACCTTCCTCATAAACGCCCCACTCATTCTGATAATATCACAATAAATCTCCTTATCCATTTCAAAACAAAATTTATTGGTTTCTGGTTGCACCAACCCCACTAACTCAGACATAATCAAAACCATCCACTTGCAACAAATCCCAAAACAACCCTCCTCTAAGTCAAAATTAACCCTAATAACCCTCATTCAAAGTTCAAAATTAGGACATCCTCATAGCCAATTTCATTAAAGATCATGATATGTCATGCATGGGCCCCATATTAATCTAAAACCTCAAATGGCACCGACTCAACACAGACAAAAAAAATCTTCCATTCATGGCAAGCATAGTTTTATTCCTTTTATAACAATAAGCACAACCCAACGTCTCCACACTTTTCTAAAGTAGCATCCTAAGAGCTTCCTATAACTTTTCAATTTCAATCTTATATAGCATTCCTAAAACATCAAAAAAAAAAAACAACTTTTCACAGAAAAAATAAATATTTCATAAAGCCCAGGACTAATCTTCCCAACTTCCTCGATTTCAACTCGAACAATTACAAATTTGTTACTCTTGTTATAAATTTACAACAAAAAAAAAACTGTTTTTACAATTTAGCCTAATAAACTTTGCTAGTTTACCTGAGATTCAACCAGAGGACTTGAATATTTCCAAAAGTGAATTTATATGATCCATAGATTCCAGATAAAGCTTATCATATGACTAGTCAGAGCAAGAGATAATTTAGAGATCCAATTCTTTAGTTTATTGCACTATTATTTGATGCCATTAAGATAGAGAATGACCACCATGAAATGTACTAGTTTCCATATGAAAATGCTATGGCTAGAACCACTGCCTAAGGCACAGGAGGAGTTCATTGTAAACCTCAAAATTATGACTTAAGCCCAATTCTAACCAGCTCACAATTCATACCAAATTAGGCTGAAAATTTCTCCTAATTACATATAACTTGTATCAATTTTTGTCGACTCATTCTCATGTTGCTACTGTGTTTCCTTCATGTTTGCATAAGCACTTGCATGCATTGAACATACTGTCGTAAATGTGACGATGATTGTTTGCAGTAATGATATCTGAAGGGCTGTTTGGTACAGCATTAGCAAATCTTTTAAATCCGGAATATAGGTTTTAAGACAAAATTAAGAGACTAAGAAGAAATTGAATTTAATAAATCCAGGATTTAAAATTTGCTCTTTTTCTCTATTTTTCAAATTTATGTTAAACCCCACTTAAATCCGTCCTAGACAGTCCCTTAATGCAACTGTTGTACTTTCCAAATATCAAATACAGTGTTTTGCATTAAGAAATTGTTCATGCCTACCTACACCACAAGCCTTCTAATCTTGTCCTACCTGTTCACAATAACATTTGCTAAAACCTTCTTATCACCACTAAAATGACTTTATCATGATTCAATCCCTTACTATTATAAATTAAGGCTAGTAATTAATGCCCTTGATATGTTTGTTAGTAATTTTATTGGTCCTAGCTTCATGGTTTAGATTCAATAGCAATAAATCATAAGTGTTCGGGTAAGGGATGTTTAAGTTCCCAAGCTCAAATAGTTGCAGAGTTACAATTACTAAGTAATAGAAGTGGAAGGATTCTACATAGAAGTACTAAATCATTGGGTACCAAAAAGGTCCATACTGATTAGGAGAGAAATAACTATCTTAGCTCAATAATGTCCAAAAGCACAAGCAGATGAGAAAGTCCAAAATTTTAGACATAAAAAATGAAGAAATGAGAAAACCAACAGGCATAAAGCTTTGGGTCCAATTATCACAATCAGCCAGCAAGGAATACATTGATGAGATGATAGTGATAGTAAAGAAATAATTGCTATCAAAAATTTTGTTCATTTCATTAATAACTTGGGCTTATATAGAGCCTTATAATATTTTTATAAAAACATCCACAGACTTTCTCTCATTACAAACAAGACCATATATTAGATAAAATCTCAACATTAGCATAACTCGCAAAGTCAGAGTCATAATAGCCCTCAATACCTAAATGCCCATTTTCTGAAGATCAGCCCCTTCCCTGGTGCACTCTTCAGATACTTCAAAATCAGATACATAGCATTCATATGGCCCTTCCTTGCATCATATACGTAGCGGCTCACCACATTCACTGCAAATGAGATATCGGGACTATTGTGATCAGATAGATCAGTCAACCCAACAATCTCTAGTACCTCTCGCGATCAACAGATACTCATGCCTCTACACTCAGCTTGACCTTCTAATTAATTGGCGAGACTGCATGTCTGCATCGCAATATGTCCGTTTGCGTGAGGAGATCTA